CCTTCATGCGGTTTGTGTAGCTGAAAAAGAGACGCAGAGCGAGTAGAATCTCTTCATGCCTCACACCGAGGTTCTGCGAAGTAACGTGAGTGAGAAGACAATATCATAATCTTAGGTGCATACCGACAAAGAGCCAACCAAACTCTGTCTGTCGCACGCGGAAAACAATGCCCATGAACCAGCGTAGTTTCTGATGATGTGGCATTCCTGCAAGTAAAAGGACGCGTCAGGGGAGGCCATGATTATATGACGAAAAACTGACCCGTGCCCACTCCAAGATAAACTGAACCTTCTCGATACGATCCTCCATCGACTGCGCAGACACGATGACGTCCAGTGCCCAAAGGTGAAGGGCCTTCTCAAAGGAAGCATAAGTGGTCACCTTCGTGCCAGCGTCATTGGAAATGCCATAAGTGGATTTTCCGGTTGCCTCCTCCACCCAAAAGCGCGCAGCATCCTCGGGCTGGAAGTCCTGGTACTTCTCCCACAAGATGACGGTGAGTTGATGGGCCAGGAGTTCCATTCCTTGAGGAGAATCGAAGTTGGACAACTTGATCTTTGCAAACTCCCCCTTAACCATTGCCTTCTTATCGCGAGGTTCCCATAAGCTACGGAACTCTTCAGCTGGCGAAGAGCCTTGAATGAGTTGAACCGTCTTCTCGAGGCGACGTCCGTTGTATTCGTTAGCGCACGCGGCGTTGTGCAATGTGTCGATAAGTTTCGAGGAGACATTGCGGGGGAGATCTCGAGAGAGATCAGAGAATACGAATTGCAGGAGAGGCGCGAAGACCTCTTGATCTTCCGAGTGGCGCCAATGAAGATCGACCCACTGGTTAAGCAAGCGAGCTACACGCATCTTGACGTGCATGGACTGAATAGGAGCTTGGTCGGGAGACGAGCAACTAAACAAATTCTCCTTGTATCGCTCTATGAAAGCCTCGAGAACGAGTGTTGGAGTCGAGAAGTAGCGGAAGCAGAGGAAGAAGACATCTGGGAGCTCCAGGTCATCATCGGAGACTGCAGATGTTAGATACCGGACAAGGCCCTTCAACGAGGCAAGCTGAAGAACACCGTTCCTGTCCAGGAAGAGGTCCGTACTATCATCTGGGTGAGGGAAGGAATTCTCCAGCTTGCTGTCAAATAACTCGGGAAAGAGGGCAATCGAGTCCCTGATACTCGCAGTCGCGCGAGCATGCCCTGCGCGAGTCGCGAGCTTCTCGACAGATACCACTTTGTCCGCCTTCAAAAATGGCTGCGAGATCTTGCGGCGCAAGCTGAATGAAAGTGGCCCAAGGATAGCGGCCAGTCCCCGTTTCGTGCGTTTGACCGCTGGGGGCTTGACAAGAGAACCCATTTCATCCACCTCTTCAACACATGTCCTGTCCGTCGATGATCTTTCACTGGTCTGGTGAGTATCCCCTGACAGTAAAGAATTTCGGCGAGCTCCATAGAACTGGTCGCCATCAGCTTCCGCTTCTTCCGCTTTTACCCCATCTACCTCCCCCGCTTCAACGTCCTCTTCACATTCTTCGGGAGTATCAGGAAGGGGCTTTAGTTGACGCATCTCGCGCTCGGCAACTTGCATGAGCCTTTTCAGGCTAGACATGACAGCACCTAAACATCCAAGAGTCTTCCAAGTAAATTGCCTCCTGCAACCTAGTTCGAAGTCCTTGTTGTCAAGGAGCTGGACATGACTCATGAAGAGCAGCTTGTAGTGCTGGACTCCGCACTCCGCGTTCCTGTAGCCTGAAGCGTTTAGAACGTCCCGTGGGAGCCGCGACATTGACCGTAAAATCGTAGTCAAGCTGCGAAAAAAGGTCGGCGACAAAGAACGGATTGATTCGATGTCCTGTGCGTCTGCGGCTTCGCGGAGAAGTCTGGCAGAACCGAGGATCATTTGGAACGTTCCTTCGATGTCGAACTGTGGGGCATTGGGGGAAGATATGCAGGTCGACGAAACAGCGAGGTTGTCATTGGTAGTACTATCCGACTTCTGCGTAGGAAATTCTCCAGGGCCAAGTACGATGACTTGGGATTCTGGTTCTAGTGCGAACCGAGGAGCTGCTTTTCGTTTGATAGTGCGAGGCTTCGAGGGGCTTGGGGTTACTGTGTTGTTCATTGAGATGATACAGGTATCAATGCCAATAATATGCGAGAGCAAGTGGTTTCAGATAGCATCAGGTTTTTATAGTGAGGCTCTAGATTGCCACCCATTGTTTAGCTGTGGACGTTGTGAACTTTAGTTTTGATCCACAAGTCAGTTTTGGTATGAGGAAGTATGTCCACACTTGAGGACAGTGCAACAACTTGTATCCACAGTCAAAGCCACGAAACTTCTTCATTGAGGCACATTTTTATATTCTGCGAAGGGAGATTATAGGTCTTAAGCCTGAACTTTCATGCAGAGATCCTTTGAACATGGTAATATCAGACACCACGCTTTCATTCTAAGTAAGGCGTACCAGTATCAACTTCAGAGTGACCTACTAGTAGTCACTAGCAAGATCTGAGGTCATCATTTAGGTGCATAACGCACCGAGTCCTATGCAATTTTAAAGTTAGTCACCGGTTGCACGAGCCCACCATTGCGTGCTATACTTGTAGCCTACGTAAGTTGTATTTGATGATGATGGGTTGAATGGCGCAATTGAATGTGATTGCAAGCACCCTAGTAGTAGCAATGTTAATAAAGCGCTTAAAGGTCCAAGTTGGCAACCGGTTGTATTATAATCACATGCCGGTTACCTGTCACCGAGGGAACTGACCGAGCGCCCATAGAAAAGCGTCGTATATGTAGTCTCGGGATTCTCTTACCGGTGCAGAGTCACCCTCAGCACTCATCGCATTAGTTTGCTTGCCCAGGCCACAGACCTTTGTTCTTCACGCTTACACCCGCTTCACATTCTCATACCAGGCTCACTGTGTTGCTTTGTATATATCTCAAAGCGAACCGAGTATACCAGGAGCATTCAAGATATAATCCAGGCAGAATGATTACAACTGCATTGACCAAACTTCTGGGCATCCGTGTGTAAGTTAATGTACGTTTGCTGTTCGGAAGGCATATTTACGACTTGTTCCACTGTCGATAGCCCAGTAGTACAAGGGGGTATGCAATGGTAAACGTCATTCGTGCCGGTGAAGTTCTGTTAAGAATGATCTGATTGCTGTGCGTAGGGTCGGAAAACCTCCACTTCCTGCTGCCGTGTCGAATGCGGGAGGTCTTGGTGTGCAATACTGTTCGCTTCCCAGCCGCATCCGCTAAATTTGTTGCAGGGTTAATCACTGCACTTACCCAGCCGGATCCCGAAGCGTTGCGCACTGTGATTCGTGAAACACGCGCAGCAACTGACAAGCCCTTTGGCGTAAACCTGACGATTCTACCCTCGATTAACCCACCAGACTACGAAGGTTTCGCGCGTGTAGCTGTAGAAGAGGGCGTCAAGATATTTGAAACAGCAGGGAACAATCGTGTGTAGTCTCATGTTCCCATCAGTCACAATGATTTTGACACAACTCATAGCGGGAAAGCTCATCGAGTTCTTCAAGTCGCATGGGTGTGTTGTGATACACAAGTGCACTACGATTCGACACGCCAAGGTTCGCTCCCCGTTTAATCAGACTACGCTGTATATTTCATGGCTAAAGCGGGCATGCAGTCCGCAGAACGACTGGGCGTTGATGTTGTGAGTATAGACGGTTTCGAATGTGAGTCTTTCGTCTATCTGTTTGAATTTGATCGCGACACCTAACGACATGGTTAGGTGCTGGTCACCCTGGGGAGGAGGACATCGGTGGCCTTGTTCTGGTGCGTTTTATCACCGGCCATGTCTATCATTACACAGTAACAATTCGCAGCTTGCAAGAGCTGCGCAAGAACTCAAAATACCTTACATTGCGTCGGGCGGAATTGGAGATAGCCGTGGATTGGCTGCTTGTCTCGCACTTGGTGCCGCAGTGAGTATTGTACCTCCCCCATCATAATGTTATTGATCACCTGCACGTACAGGGAGTGAACATGGGCACACGATTCATGTGCACGGTTGAGAGGTACGGTAGTAACACTGCAACTCCATACCCTTCTCACTTGTGCTGTTCAGCCCTATCCACCAAAATATCAAAGAGAAGATTGTCGCCTCCACCGAATATGATACCACCCACATATTCCGTACTTTGAACAACACCTCACGTGTTTTCAAGAATGCAGTCTCACAGCAAGTCGTCGCCATCGAGCGGCGGCCAGGTGGGGCGAAGTTTGAAGACGTCCGCGACCTTGTTGCTGGCGCACGAGGCAGAATTGTATTCGAGAACGGTGATCCTGACTATGGGATCTGGACTGCAGGTCTTGTACTTGGCTTAATCAAGGACATCCCGACGTGCGAAGAGCTCTTGTCGCGTATAGAGAGGGAGACAGAAGAGATTATCGGTGGGATGGCCAAGCTGGTCCAGGCGAAGGCTAAGTTGTAATGTTGTATACCTGGTTATTGTGATATTACCTTGCTGTTCATTTTTTGTAAGTACGTGATGAGTAGGCAACCATGGTACCAGTCATTAAAGCGTCTTGACTCTTGACAAATTTGTCAACCTTTGTGGAATTGCGGGCGACGCTACTGCACCGGCCCTTGTCATGGGAGGCAGCGCCACTGACGACGTGGGAACAGGTGTACCGCGGTTCCGTGCGCAGTGGGGCATGGCACTAAAAACAAAGTCAGCCCTTATAAGCCGGGCCCGCTTGCAAAGTTGTGATATGGATTTCCAATTCCAGCATTCACCGACTCCAAGCGCAAGCTTTCATACAAGATTAGAATAAGACCCACCTAGTTCCTTTCTGATAATACATATACAATTCTTACTTAGATTCAAAGCAACCCCCTTATTCTAGACTCCGAGGTCACAATGACCTCCCCTGCGTGAGTCTTGAGGGTGCAGCAGGTAACATGGATGACAGGGTGCATTTGCATTGCAATGTCACGGAGATGTGCCATTCCTGAACGCACGGGGCTCGCTCGTGGTTCGCAACCTTACTTGCCAAGTATAATAGTTCTGTTAAAATACGTCGAGAATGACAGTGAAGAGTGACACCTATTATACAATCATGTAGGAACAACCAACCATCTGACAGGTAGATCTTGGCCAGGACTTCATCCCATATCCTTGGCCCAGAGTGTTTTGCATTGAACCTTGAGACTCACATGGTATCTAATACTGTACGCATCGCACGAGGCCTGTTTTAATCAGGAGGACGAGGTATAGCTGAAACACGCCTGACTATAAAGCCTATGCGCCGCCGCCAGTGTGCGGTTCCATAATACATGTTTTCCAGAAGGCCGTCCTCCACGGAGATGATACGGGAACGCAGTTTCCATGTGCTAAGTTTTTGACGAATCGAATCAAATCGCCTGGCTACCGCATCCATGGTAGGTCTCCTGCTGGGATCATCCTGCACCATGTCATCAACGAGAGGTTTCAAGAACCCAAGCCCCGATCTGGCCTTGGTTAGGGCCATAAGCAACAAATCCAAGGTATTGATATCTGTAGGTACTCACATACAAGAACTGTTCTCTGATGACGTTTCCGAGATAATAGATGTCGGTGGGGAAAGGATTCATTGGAACGTTGATATTCTTCTGAAATTCTGGCACTGATTTGTCGCCCCCAAATATCGGGTACTCCAGTGGGTTTTTCTCGGTGGCATCGTACTGGCGTGATAAGCCGAAATCAATTAGGTAGTATTTTGGCGGCCGCTGAGTGCGAGTGAGATGGTTCGCATAGCCACTGAAGTCACGCTTCATGTGAGGCTGAGCAGGGTGATACGATTCAGGGTAGAGATCTTTTGCATCCATCATGATATTTCTCGACATGCAGTCGCTGGTAATGTGATAAGTTGAGCACATAAGACAATAGTGTAGCATTACCTACCGGTGCGCTATGTGATTAGTGTGCATGAACAACAAGCCCTGCGATGTATTACAGGGACAACATCACATTCAGGAGCAATTTTACTCACTTCAAATAACTGTCTAAGGCATTCCACCACCTCGCCGACGGTGTCGAATCGCGGCATCGTAAAATCAAGCAACAGAGGCATTACGATTATTTGTTTCTCTTCTTCGTTCGGCACTGATAATACATCGAGAAATGGAACGCAGTGATTCTTGGGATCGGAGGCAAGGTGCTCCATCATAAAATATTGCCCGATATCTACCTCGTGAGGGTGTACCGATTTGTCAACAACTTTGAGCGAAATGTACAAGTCATCAGACATGCGAGTCGCGTCAATGATCTGAGGAAACTGTGGCATTGTAAGTCACTTGGTGATGCAGTCAAACTCTTGTTCGCCTCACTGGGGAAATGTGACCATCTTCACAAGTAAATGGGTGGCGCTGTGAACTCTCCCATGATGGTACCCATTCCGGTGCGTATCGAGGACGAAGTAAGTACCCATGAGCCTTTAGCCATTGATACTGTTGACACCACCAGACTTCGTATACAGATAAAGCTCCTGGTCTCTGTTCGCGTTCCGCTCCAAAAGCTTCGAACTCTCTTTGAGCTCTGAGAGCCTTGCGTCTCTCAAGTTCTGCAGTCTCTGCAGCCTTCCGTTCTGCCTTCGTCTTGGCTTTCGGACTCCTGCCCTTCAAAGTCACAGTGTTGCCCATGCAGGTTGGGGTGCAAATCGAGTACAAATCAGTATGTAGAGTACTTCCGACTCGATTTGGAGGCATAAACAAACGTACACATGGACCATCTCGACTATTTAGTATGTAAGTACTTTGTAGTATGTGTGCAACACCCATCTCACAATTACAATCGGCCCCCAGAAACCGTTCATTCTGACTCGTCGAGGCTATGCACGATGTGATTTATTTTCAGCATTAAATATCCATGGACAAGTAACTTGACACACAAGTACTTAAACGTACTCGACTGTGGGATTGGTGTTTATTAGCATCACCCAGAACTTAATCATGCCTTCTGAGCCAGATCATCGAACCCTCCTCATTCCTGTAAATCTTGGGACACCTGCTCAGTATGACCGATCCATCTTCCCTCTCATGAGATTGAAGGATCAAAGCGGTCTCGCGCAAGCTGATCTAGTCCTTGAAGCCACGCTGGACGAGGTATTCAAGATACGCGAGATGGCCGCTGATAAGACGCATGTCCAAGACCTAGTTGCTGCGACGAAGCTCGCTTACGACAAGTTTGTCTCTTTGCGCACTTGATAATATTAAAATTTTGATCTGTTATATTTCAGACTGGTTCTTGAGCGGGATAGGCTAGAACAACAAAAGAAATCAATTAACCCGGTGAAATTATTCTCAGCATATCGTTCTACTCGGTTGCTTGTAGAAGCAGGGAAAAAGTTGTACACGAACACTAGGGTAATATTGACCTGCTCTGGATGTTTAATTCGACGTCTGATGCACTTCTGCAGACCACATCGGAGAGGATGCGAAGGCAATTACTTTCTGTTGCATCGAAAAACGTTGAGCGTGTAGAGTGTCTGCAATTTATCGCTCGTTCTGCTGGATCATCCGAGCTCAATGTTTACCCAGATGATAACTTGCCGTCTGATGCTTGCATTAGCGGGATCGCTGTTTCACTGGATGAGCCACTGGATGAGCCCACAGCTTCATATTTCACCGAAGCTGCGAATTTCATTGCATCCCGAGTGGACCTGCTTTCCGAAGAAAATCCATTTGCCGATGATTTTCAAGTAGAAGACTGTAAGAACATCGTGTCTGCCTGCTGTCTCCGTACTTACATGCATGATCATAAGCTGGAGCTAGCGCGGGAACTGAACCCAGTTCGACTGCAGATTCGGCAACCAATGATGATGGAGTTGCGTCGCCGAGTAGTCCCCGCCTTTCCGAAACATCTCCGCCGGGATCTGGTAACAACTATTTTATTTTCAATAATAGTTATGTTGCCTCAAGATCTGTCATAAGCACACCAACTTTGAACCATGGTGGGTCGCATAACCAAGGGTTGTGTTCGTACTCTCCCCATTTATCTTGTGTCGTTGTCATCTAACCAATTACTTCAGCTGCTCTTCGCTAACATTGTCGGTGTTCGAGCTCTGTCTATGAACCATGGCATCACATGCCCAATCGTTCTGATCACTTTCCCATGCTGTTTATTGTAAGCCCTGCAACTTAAATATTTTTACAAGTCCATTAAGCCAATACAATTGTTGTGAAGGAGGTAGTGCAGTACGTGGAAATAATAACGCTCACCAAAAGTTCTTTATGTAAATTTTCCAAACGGGTGGATTTATTTATGCCGTGGTGTGATCGCGTTCCGAGTATGTACGTCTATTACATGTAACACAGTGCTGTGCATGACATGAGGCTACCTGTAGATCACGTCTATTTGCGCCAATGGACTGCTCACTGCACTTTCGTGCTCCGCGATAATCAAAATTTAAATATTGCTCAAAAATGATTGATTTTTGACGAAGTCTGGTCTATCTAGCACATGTATATTGTACATAGTATACAACGTACGAGGTTTTTCATGTTCAATTGAGCGTCGGGGGGCGATTCGTGTCGCGCAGTCAGAGAATACTGTTATCTTTGGACTCCGCGCGAATTAGCTTAGCGTGCACTTCTGTCTTTCAAATGTCAGTTTCACCTCCGCGTTGGAGGTAAATATCACTTGTGCCACTACTGATATATCGATAATTGTTGTCTGTTTCACTAGCCAAGTGACCTCTCCATTTGCGAGCGCTTAGAATGCTATGTATTAAGACAAGGGGACTTACAGCTGCAAATGGCGGCAACCTGCGATGGGAAAAAAGGTACTAACGTTCCATATTTGACCTCAAGTTTGGATGTCCTGACTAAGTTCGAGGCTGAATATTAATATCGAACAAACATATGCGTATGCATGATAATTGATATATATAATTAGTCTGAATTAGTGGCAGGAATTGAATTATTAGCGATGCCACCCAAGCTGGCAATGGACTTTCGGATACACATAACACCATGGCATCGCGATGCCGTCAGTAGTGCGTTTTAAGTTACCCTTGACCCACTGGTTCTTTTATGCAAAAAGATGCAATTGTACTCTGGGTTTGATGCGACCAGACACCGCGCGTAATAGGTACAGCCCTGTGAGGGGCATCGTCCTCAGGCGCCCCATGTTCTTACTCACCACCACAATGTTTACAGCACCGTGACGACCCCTCCGCAAGCGACGACACGTTTATGTTACGGGCAGTATATCAAACGCTGGGATCCTGCCAAATAATCCAGTGAAGGAGCTAGACAAGTTCGGTGTTCTGCAACTATGCCGCAATACTGGTTACATAACATTAATGATTAGATTCGACTCGTCGGAGGCGACCATCGCGGTCATTGCCTTAACGGTCCTGGTCGGCAACGATACATGATTAGATTTCGAGTTGGCTTTTGTGGACCCTTGTGACTTTGTAGGTGCTATAATATCTTTCCACTGCCTTAGAACTGTCATCGCAATCGTTTCTTGTAAGTTGTTACGATGACTGTCTATGGGTGTTGTTGTTCTTCAATACCACGAGCGAAATTCGAGGCGAAACATGGTTTGCCCGGACCAGCCTTGCAAAAGTATAAATATGAGACTAGTCAGAGGTGAGTAGTACCCATCAACATACTCTTAATAATTCACCAAATAGCCAGACCATGATGAGATCATACCGCTACATCATGTCTTCCTTCTGGAAGTACTTTGTTACTTCACCAGCTTCAGAACAGGGTGGCCCGGTGTTACCAGAAACTCTGGGTAGGTGCTACGTCGCCGATGTCACTGAGGGCTAACTTAGTCCCGGACACCAGCTACTGCCCAAACCGGCGTTGAACCCAGCTCTGAGTCATCTAGTGAAAACTCATCATCTGGAGGACCCATGTCGCTTCGGTTCGATTCAACAATGACGAGTGTCAGTGGTAGTAACTCGTACTATTCCGAGGCTTCAACCGGTACAGATGGTCCCGCGACCCAAACCAGGTCAAATGCTTCTACAGGCATGTGCATGATGTTCTTACCTACAGTTCAACACTGACGCCACACAGCACCACCCCCGACTCAGAATACTGGTCCACATGCACCACTGGGTGAAGACATAGACCGCGTTTTTTTTCAATTCCAACTCGTATGTTGGGTCACCAACGATAAATATTGACTCAGACGATGCGACTGGAGCAAGTGAGCGACACAATTCTGAACTCGTTGCTGTTGTATACTGATCAGTCCTCTAGCAAACAACACTCCCGATGGCACGTTCCGACCATAGCGACCACCGTCTGCGAGGGCTTATTCCCCTCAAATGACTCGCGCCCGAAGGCGTAAGGGTGTTACATATTGCGGCCCCGGCACAGGAGTGGATAACCTCACCGTTAACATCCGGTCTGCGCGTGCTTCTGGTACTAGTGAGTCCACTTGTTGATGTGATATGAACTCTGTATTGATTGGATTATTCAGTTAATACAGTCGTTCCTAGTCGCACGAACCTACTGAGTGACTGAAGATATCAGCCTGGAGAGTGTACATAAATTACAAGTGGCTGGAAGTGTCTTAGCGAACGCATGTTAGCAGTTCTGCATGAGAGATTGAATACGGGTCTGTCTTAAAGGTGGTTCTTAGAATGCGATGGAGCTTGTTTAACACGAATGCAGAGTCCTTCAAACTCATTGGCAGCTGAAGAAGGCGAGAAAAGGTAACTCACAACGACCGAAGATAAATTACTTTTCCATTGCTCGGCTCATTGTTGAACATGGTGCTTCAAGCTAAATATTGACTCCGCATAGACGTGTTCCCATGAATAAGTTTGAAGATCGCTCGGTTGCTTCAGATCCTTCCATTATAATCGTGAAGAATGGACGAAGCCAACCTAACCGCTTTGTTAGATTTGACCTAGCGAGCAAGCTGAAAAACATGGTTCATAATGATCGGCAAACATATTGAAGACCAGTTTAACAGGTTGTCGTCGTATTGTTCCCGATTGCCAAACTTCGTCGTGAAGAAATAGGAGACGAGACATCCAGTTTCTACTTCGCATAAGTATGATGTGTCTCGTAGACCATGGCACCTCAAAGACGGAGGACAAATTTACTCAAGTAGCTACAAGTTGCGGGAATTCCATGCCTAAAGATAGAGATCGTTCAATCGATAGGCATCGAGAACATTAATAGACTCACCACATCTCGTATAGAATCCGCTGCGCAGAGCCGCTGATATATGACTGCAACAGCATCAAGATTGCAGTGCATTTCATAATATTCTTAACAGCCTTTCTTCGCCTTGCCCACGTCCATTTCTCAGCGCCGACTGCCGTATAATGATCCCAGTTTGGTCTACGAAGTAACCACCACAAAACTGTCGTAGGCCAAGGAAACGGATTGAATGTCTTGCCTGTACCGTTCGTACGCGCCCAAGAGAAACAGTGTACGTGCACCGAGCGAGAGAGCTGTTCTTGTAGCTTGTCGTTATATGTATCTGTGGATGTAGCTTTAATGGTAAAAGATGAGGCAGAACCGGTAAGGACAGGCTCTATGAGTTGAAGGATGTATGCAACCTTACGACAAGCTTGAGTAGAAAGATATAAAAAATCAAGGTGCACTTACTTGCATTTCCACAACAAATATCCCTGATGTTCCGAGTTGTGGTCCTGTATTTGGTCCTGTGATTATTACCTCAGGCAACAGCTGTTAACGACATGCTCCCCTCTGAACTCACCATTTATCAAGTAAAAGTTTGGTGTGTCTGGAATTGCAGTCCCGATGTATGCGGTAGGGCCACCATGCTCATCATAATAGCCTTGGACAGTGTGTCCATTCAAGCCTCGAACGTGCATCGGGTACCGCTCCTGTTTCTGCAGTTTGCATCGAATGGAATGTTGGATCATGTATAGCAACTCACGCCAATGAATCCGGTTGCATATACAATGACATCAAATGGTAACATTTCGCCTAAACTGATGTGAGGAAATTGATGATACCATTGACGACTCTCACACACCAGTTTTTGTGACAATGCCATTCTCCACTATCTCGGCGATTCCGTCGAAGTTCAGTTTCACGTTAGAGCGATAGAGACTTTTCAGGAAACCACTGTCCGCGACTGATATAATGAAATAAGAAAGAAAATAACGAATGAGTCTGACTACTGTTGACGAACCAGTCCGCTTACAACCTGGAGCTGTGGAACATGTAAGCACAAACAAAACTCCTTGATCAGACGCGTACGATGATCAGAAATCATACGAGAATGGTATCTGTCCGGTGTGTTATCGAGGATGTATTTCGTCATCGCCTGAGTAGAAACGTTAGATCGAATACACGGTCTCGAGACCCCTGCTCACGTCACGTTGTTTCTGGAGATCCTCATCACCCATGGGTGAGTGAAAGGGATTAACGTACTGTGACAAATGTCAACAGGCTAAAATTCTGTGATGCAGAAGGCCTGACCCAGAATGCGATCCAAGCTCGGTACAGTCGCATCACCAGGGGGATGCTAGCAAATATCCATTTCGCAGTGTCGGAGTACGGAATATGTGGCTTAGACGTTTTGTTCAGTTGTTGAACCGTTGAACATAACATAAAGAATCTCACTCGAGTGTTGAACCAGGTCGGGGTGCGGATGAAGTTTACTACTTCGACAGATGGATCTTCAGATATAGCTGGCACGAATTGTGCTCTTGTCGCATATCTGGATCACCATATAATGGATACGCAGAAGTCATGTAACTCACCCGGAAGAGGCATTTCCAATCACTGCAACACACTTATTTTGCAGATCTATTGAACTTGGCCACCGTGCGGAGTGAAACGAAACCCCCTGAAACTTCCGAACTCCAGGGATCTCGTATGGCATCTTTGGTGCCTCCAAAACGCCAAGTGCAGATATTACAGCGTGGGCTACACTCGTCGTCCTCTTGCCTGAAAAGACATCTTCTGCGGCGATGGCGTATTGTTGTTTAGCATCCTCCCACTCGGCAGATAACACTTTTGTGTTGAACGCGATATGTGAATATAGATTATATTTCTTCGAGAGCTTAATCCAGTAGGCTTGAATCTCCGGCTGAAGGTCATGAGACTTGTTCCAGTATGGGTAGAGATCTGTTGATAAGCTGTACCAATGAATTTCGACATCCGACGAACATCCCTAAAACAAGCTTTGAGGTGAGGGATGTGCTGCAGCTTCAGTCGTTGACAATATATACAGGATATGTGTTGGCCTGTGCAAACAAATGTCAGCGGAACGTTTGGTACATATCACATGAGAACGACGTACCCTCCATACTCCACCGACTTCAGACCCTTTCTCATATATCTATTGAACTACTCAGCGAGCACACCACTCGTTGCATGGATGCACCCACTGTGAAATTGTGAAAATTAAGCTTGGTCTTGAGTGCAATAGCTTGGGTTAACCCGGCAACACTAGGCGCGCGGTCCAATGTTCAGTTGGTATAGAATCAAGTCAGAAGCAATACTTACCCGGTGCCAATGATGGCAACTCTCCGCTGAATCTCACTCATGTTAAAAATGATGACTCTCAAGCCTCTGAATATTCCTTTAATACTCTCTCACCTGGGTATACCGGTTAGCTAGGCAACACCGAACGAGGTCATCTGGTTTATCAAGCCTTATCGAGGAAGTTGCTTGTCCTAAGTGGGAGATACCTTGTGCCTCGGACTCTGGTGCCCTTACATAACTGCGGGCTTATCGCCAGAAAGTTATGTGGGGTTTAAATCCCGCCCGATGTGTTGTAGGGCGGCGTTCGAGCGGAGTTGCAATATTGATGTGCCACCCCGCCTCCCGAGCTCTATTCCTCCCGCCCTCCCATCCGCCACCTGTTTATGTACCCACCGCATATCATTACTTTTTTCTAATATTTCAGTAGACAGTACCTGGATCCGCTGTATCCTCCTACTTTCCAACACCTCCCGCTAACTTCTTGTGCTTGTTGTTACATGCTGTCCTCTCACCCGCATTAAGGGCTCTTATAACTAATGGAACTATTGAACGCCCCCTCTCGCGTGCTCTCGTACCGTCTTATATGAGCCCTCCCGCAACACCTTGTGCGGCTGCCTGATCTACACTCTTGCACGCCCATGTCTCGACTATCCAGTTGTGCCCCGACACCTCCCGCCTACTCATGTGAGTTCATGGTGCCCCGCTCCCGTCTCTATCATGGCATTCATGGTTTAAATTAGTTCATGCATGGAGCAATTCAAATTTGATTTATTTGTGGATTTCTTCATACAAATGTGACTTGAGCAGACAAAATTCAAGAATCCATTGATACGATATAACCATACCAACACACCGCCCACCCATGATGAGCACGCGCTGTTTTGGGATCATCACCATCGAGCAGCGTTTAAACTCCGTCCGAAGCCACTTGCAGGGTCATGGACTTTGGCCTCGCAGTCTACGTAGATTAGCCCAGCGGCTA